ACGTGTACATGTGTCTTTATAGCAGCATGATTTATAATCCTTTGGGTATATCCCCAGTAATGGGATGGCTGGGTCAAATGGTATTTCTAGTTCTAGATCCTTGAAATATTGCCGCACTGTCTTCCACAATGGTTGGACTAGTTTACACTCCCACCAACAGTGTAAAAGCGTTCCTATTTCTCTACATCCTCTCCAGCATCTGTTGTTTCCTGACTTTTTTTAATGATGGCCATTCTAACTGGTGTGAGGTGGTGTCTCATTGCTGTTTTGATTTGCATTTCTCTGATGGCCAGTCATGATGAGCATTGTTTTATGTGTCTGTTGGCTGCATAAATGTCTTCTTTTGAGAAGTGTCTGTTCATATCCTTTGCCCACTTTTTGATGGGGTGGTTGTTTTTTTCTTGTAACTTTGAGTTCTTTGTAGATTCTAGATATTAGCCCTTTGTCAGATGAGTAGGTTGCAAAAATTTTCTCCCATTCTGTAGGTTGCCTGTTCACTCTGATGGTAGTTTGTTTTGCTGTGCAGAAGCCCTTTAGTTTAATTAGATCCATTTGTAAATTTTGGCTTTTGTTGCCATTGCTTTTGGTATTTTAGACATGAAGTCCTTGCCCATGCCTGTGTCCTGAATGGTATTACCAAGGTTTTCTTCTAGGGTTTTTATGGTTTTAGGTCTAACATTTAAGTCTTTAATCCCTCTTGAATTAATTTTTGTATAAAGTGTAAGGAAGGGATCTAGTTTCAGCTTTCTACATATGGCTAGCCAGTTTTCCCAGCCCCATTTATTAAATAGGGAATCCTTTCCCCATTTGTTGTTTTTGTCAGGTTTGTCAAAGATCAGATGTTTGTAGATGTGTGATACTATTTCTGAGGGCTCTGTTCTGTTCTGTTGGTCTATATCCCTGTTTTGGTACCAGTACCATGCTGTTTGGGTTACTGTAGCCTTGTAGTATAGTTTGAAGTCAGGTAACGTGATGCCTCCAGCTTTCTTCTTTTGGCTTAGGATTGTCTTGGCAATGCAGGCTCTTTTTTGGTTCCATATGAACTTTAAAGCATTTTTTTCCAATTCTGTGAAGAAAGTCATTGGTAGCTTAATGGGGATGGCATTGAATCTATAAATTACCTTGGGTAGTATGGCCATTTTCACGATGTTGATTCTTCCTGTCCATGAGCATGGAATGTTCTTTCCATTTGTTTGTGTCCTCTTTGATTTCATTGAGCAGTGGTTTGTAGTTCTCCTTGAAGAGTTGCTTCACATCCCTTGTATGTCGGATTCCTAGGTATTTTATTCTCTTTGAAGCAATTGTGAATGGGAGTTCACTCATGATTTGGCTCTCTGTTTGTGTGTTATTAGTGTAGAGGAATGCTTGTGATTTTTGCACATTGATTTTGTTTTCTGAGACTTTGCTGAAGTTGCTTATCAGCTTAAGGAGATTTTGGGCTGAGACGATGGGGTTTTCTAAATATACCATCGTGACAGTATTATATATTATGATATTTATTCTACTTGTTTAAACTGCACATACTGGTCCTTTGCAAATATCAGAAGATTTTAGATGATCTCATTTGCTAAAATAATGAAAGCCAGAATTGCTTGTAAACAGCGTACTTTGTTTTGTATTTTTATTATTCGCAAATTGGTTCTCTCACCGTTTTTCCCTTCTGTGTTAATTCGGTTATTACTTTTCTCGAATGCCTCAAGTCTTGGTGAAATTACGATGATTCTGACTTTTCAAGAAAAAGGAGGTTTTCCTCTCCAGTTAGCACAACTTGTCAGCTCTTTTGTTTTTGTGCTGATACCTTTCTTTTCCCAGCTGTGTAGTGTTTTTTCTTCCAATCCAAATATGTCTTTAAAAATATAGGATTGTCAGTCTGTTCCATATTACTTCCAGATTATTTTTTCTGTTTATTAATACATGCCGTGTGTGTGTGTGTGTATATGTGTGTGTGTATTGCCTTTGAAAAATGACTTCACCTTTGTCTCTTCATCTTTAGGGTGGAGGGTGATGGGGTTGATTTCTGCAATCCCTTATGCAGTGACTGCTCCAGCTTTACTTAAAAATAATGGAAATCAGAGTAGAATGTGCTTGTAGTCTCTTGAGTGATGTTGGCTGGGGAGAGTCCTAGAAACGGCTATAAATTCATGACGTGATTTGCAAAGAACTTCCCAGTTTTCTTCCAAGAAGGTTATATTCTACTGTTTTGTCATTAGTTCTTTGTTGTGTCACAGCTGTATAACTCTTTGTGTGTGTATTGGCGGGGCGGTTGTTTGTACCAACTCAAAAATTAAACGAAGTTATACTGTACTGACCTCGACAACTGAAATTTTCAGTAAGCCTTGAGAAGACAAAATTAGATAACATTTTTTTTTTTTCTATTGCACCTGACAGAACTTTGATTCAACTGAGACAACCAAAAGTGTATGCGGGGTTTGTAGAGTGCTGAGATGGGAGATTTGACTCATATAATCAAGAATGGTTAAGGGTAAAGTAGGTCTTGCAGGCTACTAGAAATAGATAGTAGGTATTATAAAGGGTATTATATTCTACCTCTTTTCTTGCATTATAGCTTAATTCTCTTTTCTGCCAATACATTTTCTCCATGAGTCAAGGGACATCATCATCAGTGATTTTAGGCTTATTTCCTTATAGCCTTGTAGCTAGTGGTTTTAACAGCTAGCTCTAGTCTGTAAAAAATAATCCCAGTCTATAAAAAACAATCCCAAAGAAGGACTTTTGATTGATAAAGTCTAGGATATATACCTTTCCTAGTGACGAGGGGATAGAGCTTATTGCCATAAAGGAGTGATTGAGTCATCAAGCAAGGATTATTACTAGGCAAACAGAAAATATCCATTATTGGTATTTAAAGGGATCAAGTTTTGAGCTTATTCAAAAGTAGACAGAAATTCCTAAGGGTTATAATTTGTAGTGGAAAAGGTTTTCTTTTTGTTTTTTTTTTTTCATATTATTTACACATGCTTATACCTTTATTTATACATGCTTATACACATGCTTATAGTACAGGTGTACAACTAATTCAGTAGTTAGTTGGATCACTTTGGGTTTGTATAGTTATCTTTATATGCACATAATTTTTATTCTGGTGATTTTGAACTTAGGCCACTGTATTCCAAAAAAAGAAGGGCTTTGATTTGAATTCAGCCAGACTCGTGGTTAAATGTGGACAGAAGATGTCTGCATATATACGTGCTCATTGTTTTTCTGTCTCATTTTCTATGTTTTTCCTCTTAAATCACATCCCCACGAGTCAGTATTTATATACTAGAATAGGTAAGTAATATGATTAGTTTACTCTTATTATATAATGTCTAGTTGATTCTTTATATAGGAGCTAATGTTTCTTTTAATGGATTCCTATGTAATGATTATCCCCTGGCTTCTGATTTTTTAAAAATCTAGGTGCAGTTCAGTTCAACTAGCTGCAGTGCCCAGAGCCTACTATGCTCCAGGTACTGGAATTACAAAGAATAAAAATAGTTATGTCCCCTAACATAAACTTAGAGAAAAATATAATCAGAAGGTTCCCCCACATTATAATGATGTTAAATATTTGATATGCTCTCCACCTTAATTATGACTCACTTTTTTTTTTTTTTTTTTTAACATTTAAAGGTTTACCTGAATGTAATATAGTTGGAGGAAGACCATATCATAAGTACGCTTGATAAATTTTTATGAACAAACATCTGTGAAACCAGCACCCGGAATGACTCAGTAGTAAATACACCAATATATATTAATAACTAAATGCGCAATAGTGAGAACATTGGAAAAAAGGATATTTTGCTGTCCTCAGGTGTCTTTTTGTGTGGTTGTTTTTTTTTCTTCTTGGAGTTTTTGCCACCTACCTGCCCCTGTGACTGTTGTTTCTTGTAATAAAGAATGGTTTCTGTGATGTTCTAAGTGAATACTAGGAATACCACTGTATTGAAGTGAAAGTCTTTTTTCTCTTGTACTCATTTTTATAGTCATTTATTTTTTAAAAAATGCTATAGGATAGCCTGCTATTTCTAACAATTTTACCATGTTTACCATCTGAAATTTTGGAGAGAATGTAGTGTAATTATAATTAGTATTTAGCAGTATTTCTTTGGAAATATTCTTTGTGATGCTAATATTGATTTTAATTTTTATGTATTTTTGTACCTCCCCTGATATTTGTCAAATTTCCTTCTGTTATGTACAACTAAAGTCTTTATGAATTCATAGTTATGAAATTTACACTTGCAACTTTCTGTAAAGAAAAATGTATTATGAAATATCACTGTGAATATGATTGAAACTATTGCACTAAAAACAGACATTTTAAGAATCTTAAGCATTTCAGAGGCATCTATCCTTGAGTATATAATTGATATGCTTCAACACTTAGCATATTTCCTTGTACATCTTACATTTTCAGTAATTATTGAGATTTGTTATTTAGTTTTTAAGATACTCTCATCTGCTCTTAATTCAAATGTGACATCTCTTCTTTATAAATGTGATTTTTCCTGAATATTTTAAAGGCATTTAATTATTTGAAATGTTTATGTTTTTTAAATACCTTCCAATATAACGTATGTTAGGTTTTTTTAACAGGAGAGTATATATCATTTATTTATTTTGAGATTGTTTAGAGAAAAAAAGGTTGACTTGATGTTAGAATAGGCAGTGATATTTCTGAGAATATTAAAATTGTCAGCAGTTAAATCATTTAAAAATATTACATGCTTACAGTAACTACTCTGTAGTAACTAAGTTTGCTTTACGCTAAAGATGTTTATTATGATCTCATGACTAATAGCATAAAAGATCAGGAGAGTTTTCATTTTTATTTTTTTCTTAAACTGTAGGTCATAACATGTTTAGTGGAGTAACCAATTGAGTGAGAGAAACAGAACAAGAGACAGATAGATATGAGATTTCTTTGCAATAATTACAGTGTTTATTATGTAAAGAAACTTTGATCTTATATATCAATTCTTATTCTTTTAAAGGAGGGTGCATCTGCACGGAAGACTCAGACTCCTGCAGCCCAGCCAGTACCAAGACCAGGTAAAAATATAAAACTTTGTTTTTTGCTTTCTTTCAAAAGCTCATAACGGTGCAAGTTTTTTGGTATGTGTATAATGCTTTGAACAAATTTAAATTTTACTTAAAATACATTGCAAAGTCATGTTTCTTTAAAGACTGTCGATACTGTTTAAGCAGATCTCAAAACTGTGATAATATACATAAAATGCTTGCTAAACTTCAGTCAGCATCATTAATAAATCTTCATGTTTTTAGCAGAAAGACATAAAGAAATAAAGTGAAAAGCATATTAAATTATTTATTTTCCTATAGTGTAATAAGCAGCTGAACTGGATTTTGTAATATTCTTTATTGAAGTAATGTTTTCCCCGATTTGATTCACAGGTCATTGATAAAATGGGTTATAAAACACTGTTTTTCAATAATGAAGTTATACTATAGAACATTTACTTGAGTAAATAGGTATAGTGAAGACTTAAAGAAAATTTTTAAGAAAATGTTTTCATTTTGGTTAAGGTTTTAGAAACATGTTTTAAAACATTTTTAAATGTTTAAAAGCTATTTATATATATCCATCCTCATCAGGTAGTATGTACAGATGTGATTTTTTTTCTTACAGCAGCACAGAATTACAATTTTAATAGAATGATATTCAACTTTGATGCTTAGAACTTCAGATATCTGTGTTGAACACCTAAAGTTCTGTATCATTTTTTTAAAAATGTGTTAAGCAAAGGTAGTTATTTTAGAAAAATTCTTCCCCCTATTCCTAGTACCTAAAAAGACTGATCTTTATAGATACTTAGATACCAACCCTATATTTATTTTTGGTCTTTTGGGTTTGTTTTTGGTGTTTGGTGTTTGTTTTATTTTTACATTTATTTAGCATAATTTCAGTGCTAGGCTATAGCAGCTGCCACCCCCGCCCCCCGGCTCCCTTTGTTTTTTTTTTTTTTTTAAATAACCTCATCAGTGCTGTTGAAAGTGAGTATGAAAAAAGAAAATAAAGGATTGGAAAGATACAGGCAAGAACTTAACTGGATCTTCTGCATAAATTTCACAGTATCAATAGTGCAGATACGGATATCCTCTTATTCATAGTATGTACACAGGCCAATTCTAAAATTATTTAGATTATGAATATTAAATATTTTCTGGAGGCATGTCAAAAGCATGGTACATGGGGCTTATGTTGAGATGGTTTTGCAGGGTGATTTCCTTATGTCCTGTATTCATGCTCCTCTTAGATGTGGCTAGTATTTCCTTTTTTTGTTTTTATTTTTTGTTTGACAGTAGGTTTGTTTGAAATTTTTGTCATTGCTGTTTTTAAGTAGGTGTGGAGAAGAGGAGTGCTCTGTCAGCCTTGTTATACTTAGACTAGATTGGATGTAATTGATTAAGATGACAGGACTAATTTTCAATAGAGATGGTCATACCAGAATCCATCATGAGAGTATAGAACAACAACTAAATTCAACAAATATTATTTGAATTTCTATATAGTAGGCTCTTGTCCAGAAACTAAGAGAAGCTGAAGGAGCTTTTTACAGGAAGGAAGAAAAAAGTGAAGGAAATAGGGATGGACAGATGGGGTTGGGCCCAAAGAATACTAAACATAAAGTATAGGAATATTGTGGAGGCAGCTGAATCACAGATAAGAGAATTGTTTGCTTTTCTTTGGAAGGGAGGGATGGGAGGTTATGGTTTGTCAGAAATGGAAAAAGGAGAACAAGCCACCACCTGAGGATTCTAACTTAGAATCTGTGATGTAAAATTTTTTCTATTTCATATTTTCATAAAATAAGTTAGTATATAAGGAAAGGGCTGGGAGAGGCACTGATATCTAAACAAACTATTTTGTTCAGATGTGTCTTGTGATAAAACAAAGTTAAAGGGACTAGATTTTACTAGCCAGTTATGTGGCTAGGGGAAGATCATGTGTGTAAAGTAAGGGGTCCTAAGTCTTTTCACCTCTTAATGTTCTAGCCTACTTTTTCAATTGCTCTGCTAAAGTGCACTGGGGATTAAACCAATCGAAATTAATCTGAACTAATGTCTCATCATACATCAGATATTCTATTGCCCATCCATGTGAACTTTCCACTTCCTACTCCCACTTACTGCTTCACACCCATACATCCACATTTCCTACCCACCATTCTAAAGTAATTAAGGTTTTTGCTCTCATTCAACAATAAGACTTGATTGGAATGGATAGTAGTAGTTTGAAGTCTTTATTTGTCCTAATTAGTGTATTTTTATTTTGCTGCCAAAATGTTAAATGCATCTGCTTTTGGGGGTGCAGCCCAGTTTTGAAGGGATATTGTTTAATATTTGACATGTACACTAGTATTATTTCTTTAAAATCTGAAAGATGTGAGTACCCAAAATATATATGGCCAGTGTAAGAAGGGGGATTATAGAAGTGTAACTGTTATTTGTTGGGTAGAGTTTGGATAATTTGGAAATGGGAGACTGACCCACCTGTTCTTTCCTTGAGTGAGATACCTCAAGGGTGGAGTTCTCTTTTTGAGCATTTACAAATTTTTATTTCTCATTTCATCAAATATTTATTTAGTGCTGTTGTGCCAGGCAAGTCTGTGGGTAAATTTAATGTTTTAAAGTGTTTACAGTTACACACTAAACATCTAAACATCTAAAGCTCTAAAAATTTCCAACCTCTCAAAATTCATTTAGGGAATATAACTAACAAGAGGCACATGTTTTCCAGTGGATTCATAAATAAAAGCATTTGAAAGTATTGGGGGAACCAGCCCCCAATATTTCAACGTAGGTTCTTTTTATTTTCCCTAAGGGTCAGCTGGTCTGAGAAATAAAGAGAAAGAGTACAAAGACAGTCACAAAGATCACATGCTTCAAAGGGCAATAAAGATCACAAGGCAAAGGCAAAATTAGAATTACTGATGAGGGTCTGTGTCCCGCTGTGCATTTCTTGATAAACATCTTAACAGAAAACAGGGTTCAAGAGCAGAGAACCGCTCTGACCAAAATTTACCAGGCTGGAATTTCCCACTCCTGGTAAGCCTGAGGATATTGCAGGAGACCAGGACGTATTTCAGTCCTTATCTCAACCTGATAAGACAGACACTCCCCCCAGGAACTCATTCCTTCCCCAGGGTATTCCTTGCTGGGAAAAGAATTCAGTGATATCTCACTCACTTGCATGTCTATTTATAGGCTCTCTGCAAGAAGAAAAACATGGCTCTATTCTGCCTGACCCCGCAGGCAGTCAGACCTTGTGGTTATCTTCTCTTGTTCCCTGAAAATCGTTGTTATTCTGTTCTTTTTTAAGGTGCACTGATTTCATATTGTTCAAACATATGTTTTACAATCGATTTGTACAGTAGTAGTCCTGAGGTGACGTACATTCTCACCTTACAACGATAACAGGATTAAGAGATTAAAGTAAAGACAGGCATAAGAAATTATAAGAGTGTTATTAGGGAAGTGATAACTTCCATGAAATCTTCATAATTTATGTTCAGAGATTGCAGTAAAGACAGGCATAAGAAATTATAAAAGTATTAATTTTGGGAACTGATGAATGCCCATGAAATCTTCACAATTTATGTTCTTCTGCCGCGGTTCCAGCTGGTCCCTCCGTTCGGGGTCCCTGACTTCCTGCAACAGAAAGGCCATAGTTCTGGACTTCACTGTCTTTCTTTTTTATAGCCATATTGAATTTCTTGCACATATCCTTGTCTGTCTTCTCTCCTTTATTAATGTATACACCATCCATACTTCACTAATTCATAGTTCTTTTGAGATGACTAAGTGGCCTATGGTACTAGTTTATGTGCTTAATACCACTCATGTGAGCTTGAGAGAGTGAGCTAGTGGCTGTATATTTTATACAAATTTATTATGCTATTCAATCATGTAATTTATAACCTAGCTACTGCTTGGAGTACTTCTCTCATCCCATAGTTTTAAATCTATGTGCTAATGATTTCCAAATTTGTATCTCCAGTTCAAACTCTGATATCTTACATTAACTGTCTGTGTAACATTTGGATTTGCCATAGGCGTTTTAAAACTAATTAAGATAATGTTTTCCCTGCTATTTTTCCCAAGGCTTCTTACTCTATAGTCTTCTCCTTTTTCATAGAGTGACACCACCATCAACTTTGTTTCTTAAATCAAAAATTTGGAAGTTACTCTTTATTCATCACATTTCCTTACTCCTTTTCTGTTAGTGGGTTCTGTCAGATGTACCGTTTCTGTATTCCAAATTTATCTATTTTTCTTTATCTCCACTACCACAACTCAAGTAGAAACCATCATCATCTCTCTAGACCAGTGGGTCTCAGTGTGGTTGGCTGCCTGGTGTCAGCCCATGACCTTTTTATTTCCAGTGCCAACAAAATAGATACAGAAATTGAGGGTAAAATAGTGTCATAGCATCTGAGTACATTATCATCTTTCTAGAAATTCATTGTTATTATATTTTATTCAGTTGACTTTGAATTGGAAATCAAACAAAAACTCAACCACACATGGTTTGAGTAGCACCATTGTTGACTGTTGTAATAGTCCTAACTGAGCTTTCTGCCTTCACACGTGTACCCTTTTTGATCTCTTGTCCAAATCCATTGTTTTTTTTTCTTCCAGACTTGTGAAATGAAAATAAAATCTTGTCACTTTCTAGCTTAATAGTTATAGGACTTTCCAGTGGCACTTAAATGTAAAGTTAATATTGCTTAAAAGACCCTAGATTAATTGGTCTCTGCATATATTCGTAACCTCAACTCCTGCCATTCTTCCTTTCTTCCCTCTGGTCTACACATTTGCTTTGTTTCAGTTCCCTAAGTGCAGCAATTTCTTCCTGCCTATGATATTTGCCCACATTTCTACCTCTTATCTGGACTGTTCGCCTACTTGTTCTTGGCAAGTTGGCTTGTTTTCATCTTTCAAATTTCAGCTTAAATGCCACTTTCTTTGATAAGCTTTTTGCATTCTATCTAAAGCACACTTTTCTGCCTGTATACACTCATTTTGTTCCCTTAGTATGTGTTCCATTTAGATTATGTGTTTGGTTGCAGTTTTGTTTATGGTCTGGGCTCCCCTACTCTGCTGAAAGCTCTTTGAGGGCAGGAATTACTTCTGTTTTATTTGCAGTTTAATAATAACTTAGCAGCGATGCTTGTGCATAGGCTCCGAATGAATGTTTCTTAAGAATCTAATTTATTTGAAATCAAACAAAGCAACAGTAATTTTTCTTATGGTTTATTCTCAGCTTGTAAATTGGCAATTAGCGCACTTGCTTGAGGAGGAGGAGGAGGAGAAGGAGGAGGAGGAGGAGTAGTAGTAGTAGTAGTAGTAGTAGTAGAAGCGGCAGCAGTTAGCATCTACTGTAGTTGCAGGATTCAGTAAATGGTTAAGAACTTTAGCATGCATTATTATTTTTTAAATTATCACAGCAATATCAAGATATAGAAACTATTATCTCTTTTACGATTGAGGAAACTGAGGCTGAGCAAAGTTAATCAACTTGCCTAGACAGTGGCAAAATAAGGATATGAACTAAAATAATCTGAGTACAGACCTTTGCTGTTGATCACTCTGTCGTACAAACTCCTTATGTTTCTCTCCCCCTCCCCCTTTAAGATCAAGCTTCTCATTGACATGTTCATCACAGTGTCTCAGTCAGGGTCCTTACATACTAGGGAACTTGTTTATATTCATTTGCAGTTTTTTTTTTAAACTAAACCTCTAAACTTTATTTTTAACATTTGTGAGTTTTTTTATTTTGCCTTTTTCTTACATTGGGTCTTCTCGGCCTTGAGTTTAGTAAATGTTTGCCTAAATTCCTGAAGGCATTTGTGGATTTCCTCACCAAATCCAACAGTACTTCAGTCAGAGATTTCTCCCTTGCCCTCTTTCTTCTTCCCTCTTTTCCTCTCCCCTTTCCCTGCCTTCCTTCCATCTGTCCATCACAGATTTATTTCTTGAAACCTCTTTGTTTTTTGTAGTTCCCTTTAGTCATAATAGAAACTCCTGTTTCCTGTTTATCCATCCTGTTATCCCTTTATCTCTCCAATAAATGCCAAATATTTACCGAGACTGTATTATATTTCAGATGATACTATCTAACCAATCAGATTTATTCATGACCCTCCATTTCTCTAATTGATTTAAGAAAATTCTAGTTTTTTTTCTCAGCAAGATGAGAAAACCGTAATAGTAAAGGCATATGTCTCAGCATGTATTTGTGTGTATAGTTATCTGCTTTCTGTGGCTCGAAGATCATACTACTGAATCCTGTGATAGTTTATCACAATGAGAGAGCTATACAAAGGATTACAAAGAATTAGTTAAAATGTAGCATTTTGTTGCTTTTTAAATAGAACATTTTCTGAAAGTGTATGTGCTGTGTTATTCACTTTAAAGATGGTATCCATTTTTAAGAACTGACATTCAATTAGAATTTTAAGTCTCCTAAATTTTTCTTTATTTTTGTCATTTAAAAAACAAAACTCGATGATAGCATGTGGCACATTGAGTTATTGTATGGTCAAATACTGAAAATAGAACTTGCAGCACTTTTTATCCTAAGATGTACTGATCTTGTGTTAGGTTATTATTACCATTAATGTCAACAAATACTTCTATGCATTAAAAGTTCATTGTATATAAACATAATACGAAGATACGGGCCAGGCTCAGTGGCTTACCCCTGTAATCCCAGCACTTTAGGAGGCTGAGGTGGGAGGATAACTTGAGCTCAGGAGTTCAAAATCAACCCTGGGTGACAGAGCGAGACCCTGTTTTTGTTAAAAAGAACAAAAAAAGATAGGAAGATTTGTGTATTTATAATATGATCACAATCAATCATATGGTCATTTTCAGATAATATAGACCTTCACATATACATGACTGATTACCTGTAACACTGTATTTCTCACCTGAAAAGAGACCAGAAACAATTTTTAAAAGAAAGAAAAAATAAATAAAAGGAATTTTTTAAACTTAGCTCTCAATAACTACTTTTCCTTTTCTTCCAGAATGGTTAAGCGTATTCACACTTTGCACAGTATTATTTGCTCTTATGCTCTGCTTTCACATTTATTACAGTGGTAATTAGCTTATTATGAAATTATTTCTTCTCTGTCTCTCTCTCTCTCTCTCTCTTTTTTTTTTTTGCTAGACCTGAACATCCTTGAATGTAGATACTCAGTGCCTGACATTGTAATACAGTAGTCCCCACTTACTAGCAGGGCATACGTTCCAAGACCCCCAGTGGATACCTGAAACCAGGGAGGGATAGTACAAAACCAGATTCAGTCAACTAGAACATGTTTCTCTTTATGTCTCCCGTAAATTTAATGCCCTTTCCATCTTAACTAAACACTGTCACTCACTATGACTGAAACTTTCGCAGTTTGAGGTACAAAGGCAAAAGTAGCATGAATTTCTTTTTCTTCTTCACAATTACACAGATGGTAGATTCTTTGTTTTTATTGTAGGTGTTAGGAACCTCAGGATGTGATTTTATTTTATTTTTTTCTTTTCTTACTAAGTAGAGATTTTCACCTAAGGGAAACACTTAATGTCTTGTCTTTGGTAGTGGCGTATCCAAATTGTCAGCCTTATCACTCTTGCCCTTTGGGGCCATTCGTCTGTAAAACAATGGCCACTTGAAACAAGCACTGTGATAACAGTGAGTGACTAAAGTGTGGGTAGTGTATAGAGTGTGGGTGTGCTGGACAAAGAGAGCATTCACATCCTGGGTGGGGCAGTGTGAGATTTCGTTATGCTCCTGAGAAAGATGTGCAATTTCAAATCTTGTGAATTGTTTGTTTCTGGAATTTTCTCTTTAATATTTTCAGACCACAGTGGACTGTGGTTAACTGAAACTGTAGAAACAGAACTATGGATATTGTATATTCACTTTCCTTTTGACTGCAGATTGTTGAATAATGCATTTTAATATTTTTGTCAAACAGAATGTTGAGAAGATAGTAAGTTGTAAAATACGTCTTCTGAGTTACAGTTAGTCATATGTGAATACAAATAATTTAAAAAATACCCCTTACTTGTAAGTTTGAAAATAAGAATATGGTTTTTATGACACAGAGTTGTGATTTTTTTTTCTTCTTTACAGTTTCTCAAGCAAGACCTCCCCCAAATCAGAAGAAAGGTGAGGTTGTGAATATGATTTTAAACTTAACTTTTAAAAGTAAATGATTGCAGAACCAGGCCTGATACTTTCCTTATGCAGCTGTATCACATGTTTGTGCTTGGTATTCATTCTGATTTGTCAGAACTCAAGCCACATTGATTATTAAATATTTTTTAATATCCACTGGCTTAAGATATTTTTTAGATCGAAAGAGTTAAAGTTACAATTTATAATCTTTTAACTTTTAGTAGGGAAAGTAATTGTAATTCCTAATAATATATTTTCTGCCTGTAAAATTTTGTCTTTATAGGATCTCGAACACCCATTATCATAATTCCTGCAGCTACCACCTCTTTAATAACCATGCTTAATGCAAAAGACCTTCTACAGGACCTGAAGTAAGTAATTTATTAAACTATCCTGTTCGTAGGACATTGAGATATCACTGGAAAATAGTAGTTACTGAATCAGTATTACTTATTTGGAGAAAACAAAATTTCAGTTTCTGTGCTGTAGGCATTACACATAGTATGAAGCATAATTTTTCAAAACAGAATATATTCTTTTATATTTGGATCCTTTAGGGAAAGTTACAGAAACTTCTGGCTAAAGTCCTAATGAAAAAGGATACTATCATATTAACTTCTAATATGAATTGTTTTCTTTTGATGTTTTTCTCTGAGAGAGCTTGAGGAAGTTCTAAAACTTCCTCAGTTCAGGTTCTCTCTGAATATTAGATGTTATACCGTAGTGGGAGTAAGTAGGTGGATAGGTGGGGGGCATAGTTATTTAACCTAGATAGCAGTGAAAGTTAAAGAAGTGAAAATGAAACCTATAAATGATGATAAAATTTCCACATGCTTAACTTTAAAAAATGTTTAATGTCTATTTTCCTTCCTCATTTCCTTATTAAAATGAATACAATCACACTTGTACCCAGTTTGTTCTAATAAACATGCATCATGGTTATTGGGCACAAAATAAATCTCTTCCATTCCCAACCACTTTCAGATTTAAAATTTAAGTAGTTTACATATATTTTCCCATAGCATTTCTTCTATTAATGAATATTTTTAAGTCTGTTTACTACTTCTTGGATTGGCTATAGTTTACAGAAGAAAGATGGCAATATAAAAATTGTTTTAAATAAGCTTCAGTGATATATACATTAACAAGGTTTAAAATGAGCCATGTTTAAGTGATTTTCAGAATGCTATCAAGTTTTTTAGACACAGTGTTGCAAACGGTTTTTCCTCAGTAGATTTTTTTTTTTTTTAGTCATCTTCATTGTTAAAATGGGTGACTATTTTATATATTCAGCTAAATACCATTGACTGATGTAGGATTTTAAGATAGTTCCTTCTATCAGAATGCATTTTATGAAATAGGGGATAGGGATAGAAAATGCAGGAGCTCAAAAATTGTAATACATACTGTCTCAGAGGATAAGAGAAATGCTGTGATCACTAGTTGGAGAGAAGGGGGTTAACTGTATTCTGCTTTAATATTTTCATAGTGTTTGTTACATTTTCATGGTACTTCTTACTAAACAAAAGCTGTCAGATTTTCCTGTTGTGTTGCATACATTATTTAATTTTGGTATTTGTTAGGAATTTGGACTGTTACTCACTAATCTTAATATGGTTTTATTTGAAGTGGTACTGGCTTAAAGGCATGTCCTTCCAGAGTGATTTTGTGATTGCTCTGCCAGATGCTTCAAGAATATCTCAAGCCTTGAGTTGATTTTTGTGTTAAATTCTTAACATAAGGATTTCTAGTCTGTCTTTGAATCAGACCTGAGTGACATTGGACCCTGCCTGACAAATTATCCAGGAGCCCCTTTTCTTCCCCTGCTCCAGAGGTAGATCAAGATGGGTATGCTTCCCCGACATTTGATTGGAAACAGTTTTTCCCTCTAGTTTAATCTTTCATTGATTGTGTGACTCTTCTGTGGCTCTAGTTCCAGTTCCTGTGTGGCTCTAGTTCCAGTTCCTCTGTGTCCTTTCCCTATGTAGTTGGTAAAAGCCAATTCTCAGTACTGCCTACACTTTCCTCGTGGGCAGTACCTGTGTACTTTATTAGTCCTCAGCATTTTCTTCATTTGTAGCCCATGACTGTTTTCTTTCTAGTCAGCATTTCAGGTATATGTTACATTGTATTTAGCATTTCCAGGTGTTTATGTATAAAGCTCCAGTTTCAGTAATGTAGTATACCAGATAGTATAACCCATTTTAGTAGGAAGTTGTTAGTCTGCCAAATGTAGCGAATTTCTTAATTCGTGTTTCATAATTGTTTGAGTTGTACCTGAGGGGAATTAAAAATGCAGACTATTGGCCGGGCACGGTGGCTCACACCTGTAATCCCAGCACTTTGGGAGGCCAAGGCGGGCGGATCACGAGGTCAGGAAATCAAGACCATCCTGGCTAACATAGTGAAACCCCGTCTCTACTAAAAATACAAAAAAAATTAGCTGAGTGTGGTGGCGGGCACCTGTAGTCCCAGCTACTTGAGAGGCAGAGGCAGGAGAATGGCATGAACCTGGGAGGCGGAGCTTGCAATGAGCTGAGATGGCGCCACTGCACTCCAGCCTGGGTGACAGAGCGAGACTCCATCTGAAAAAAAAAAAAAGCAGATTATTTTATAAGCTGTTTGGCCACTTAGCTATAGATTGTTTGCAGTTGGGAGACACTTGACATTAGAAATAAGTTTTAATGTTTTTCTAATCAGTGATGTTGATGCCTTAACTATGAGACAGGTTCAGATGAATTTAGTGATAACTCTCATTTGGGGAGATTGATGTGTATATTGAGTTTGTTCTTTCAACTAACATCTACAGAGCGATAACTAAAAAGTAAATTACTCTATAGATGGATGTACCACAAGCCCAACCTTCTAGGCGCTCACATGAGAGTGGCACTGGTTTGTCACTAGTTGCAGCTGCTGAGAAATGTGTTTAACACTTGTTGTAAAACTCAGTTTCAATGCCTTATTCTAAGTACAGTGAAAAATATACTGTCTTTTGAGTCTGCAAATTTGAATCACGTTCTGAAGATAGGTTCAGAAACAAATTTGACCTCAACAGTTAGCCTTTAAAAGCTTTATCTAGCTTCTCTCACAAATTATGTGCTATTAGTGAGAATGTATATAATAGTGATTTTTCATAATATATAAACAACTTGAAATGTATTGTTTTCTACAGTTTGAAACCTAAAAATGATATACGGTATATCCAGTTTGACCCACTCTTATTCCTGAACAAAAATACAGATAGATAAAAGAAACTTAAAGTCTATTTTAGCCTTAGGTTACCTCTGCCATTTAGTTGCAGAGCAGGAAATACAACCAGGTCTCCTGATGATCAATTTAGTAGTCTTATTATTTGTACTGTGGAGATACTTAACAAACATTCAGATTAAGAAATTAAGTTTTTATACAATTACATGGAAATTAAGCAGCCTGGTCCTAAATCACTTTTGAGACAAGGTCTCTGTCACCCAGGCTGAAGTGCAGTGGTGTGATCTTGGCGCTCTCGGCTCTCTGCAACCTCTGCCTCCTGGGCTCAAGCAATCCTCCTGCCTCAGCCTCCTGAGTAGCTGGGACTACAGGTGTGTGCTACCACACCTGGCAAATTTTTGTATTTTTTGTACAGACTAGGCTTAGCCATGTTGCCCAGGCCGGTCTCAAACTCCTGGACCCAAGTGATCTGCCCGCCTTGGCCTCCCGAAGTGCTGGGATTACAGGGATGAGCCACCATGCCCAGCCTCAAAAAATTCTTTGAAACAAGTGAAAACAAAGATACAGTGTACCAGAATCTCTGGGACACAGCTAAAGCAGTATTAAGAGGAAAGTTCATAGTGCTAAATGCCTATATCACGAAGTTAGATCTCAAATTAACCACCTAACGTCACACCTGGAGGAACTACAAGAACAAGAGCAAACCAGTCCCAAAGGTAACAGAAGAAAATAACCAGAATCAGAGCTGAACAAAATTGATATGTGAAAATCCATACAAAAGATCAATAAAACCAAAAGTTGGTTCTTTGAAAGAGTAAGATTAATAGACTGCTAGCTAGATTAATAGAGAAAAAAAGAGAAAAGATCTAAATAAACACAATCAGAAATGACAAAGGGATATTACCACCAACTCCCCAGAAATACAGAAAACCCTCAGAGACTATGAACACCTCTCTGCACACAAACTAGAATACCTAAAAGAAATGGATAAACTCCTAGAAACGTACAATCTCTCAAGATTGAATTAGGAAGGAATTGAAATCCTTAACAGACCAATAATGAGTTCCGAATTTGAATCATTAGTAAAAAAAACCCTACCAACCAGAAGCCCCCCAACCCCCAACCAGACAGATTAACAGCTGAATTCTACCAGATGTGTAAAGGAGAGCTGGTACTAGCCCTACTGAAATTGCTCCAAAAAGTCAAGGAGGAGAGACTTCCCTAACTCATTCTGTGAAACCAGCATCATTCTGATACCAAAACCTGGCAGAGAGACAATTTAAAAACAAAAACAAAAACAGAAAAAACCTGCTGGCCAGTGATGAGCATAGATGCAAAACTCAACAAAATACTAGAAAATCGAATCCAGCAGCACATCAAAAAGCTAAAACACCCTAATCAAATAGGCTTTGTCCCTGGGATGCAAGGTTCGTTCAACAAATGCAAACCAGTAAACATGATTCATCACATAAACAGAACTAAAAAAATTACACGATCATCTCCGTAGATGCAGAAAAGGCTTTCAATAAATCCTAACATCCCTTCATGTTAACCCTCGACAAACTACCCATCAAAGGAACATACCTCAAACTAATAAGAGCCGTCTATGACAGTCCTACAGCCAACATCATACTCAATAGGCAAAAGCTGGAAGCATTCCCCCTGAGAACCAGAACAAACTAAGAATGTCCACTCTCACCACCCCTATTCAATGTAGTACTGAAACAGGAAAGATTCCTTTGTCTCCCTCACAGAGCGTGCAGTGGGGGTGTGGCTCGCTTCTTCAGTACCCTGCTGCTGAAACCTCTAGGGGAGCATAACCAACGGGCAGGCTGTGGGGCTCAGACCCCACGGCAGTGTCTAGGGGTGAATGTTTACAGCTGAAGCCCCAGTGGACGTGTGCTACAGGATGCTCTTTTGGTTTGCTCTATAGGTGACTTGTGTTAACCAGCTCAGACCCTCTACCTTACCACAAGGACAGAGGGATTGCCGTATTGCAGGATTTCTTACCTTGGTGTACCGGAAGAATCGGATCACATGTGGATTTGGAGAATGAGTGCAAGGTTTTATTGAGTAGAAGTAGCTCTCAGCAGATGGGGGAGCCAGAAAGGAGATGGTTTTCCCCTGGAGTTGGGCCGCTGTGGCCAAACTCTGCGTCATTCTG